AAATTGTTCCATGGTTCAAACCCAAAATCACAGCTGTTTGCAGCTGCCTGCCAGGGTCTCAAATGCTTCTGACCTGGGCCTGGAGCATCCAAAAATGTCTGAGGGACATTTGGAGTTCCAACAAAGGTTTTGCAAAACTCTGAATCCAAACTCCACATCCAAACCCTTAATCCAAACTCCTCCATTGTTGGAACAATGGGATGAAAGTGACAGACCCCGTGACCCGTCGTCCATTTTGGGACCATTTTGGGACCATTTTGGGACCATTTTGGTTCATCTTGGGTGTGGCCCTGCCTGGGCTCTTGTGCTGCCCAAGGTGGATGCATTGAGGAGATCATTTTAATAAATCCCTGCTTTATTCTTGAGCTCTGCCCAGCCTCTCCTCTAGCTCAGCCTTCCCAAGGTGTTGGGGTTCACCCTGCAGCCAGTTTTGCTTTTTCCTGTTGCAGTAAGCTCGGGAAGGAGGAGGATGAGGAGGCAGGAACTGATGCTGCGGGCAAGGGGCAGAGGCGCTCTATTGTTTCAGCCTTGCGAGCAGCTTCTGACTCATGGCAGAAATATTCACTGTAATATTTTGCCCTCCATGTTTGTGATAGGAAAAATGTCTCCTGTAGCGCATGGGTGTTGTGACATGTCTGTCCTCGCCACCCTGATGATGTAGGGGCAGCTTTACATTCATGGATATCCACTTTATATCCATGGATATCCAGATTTATATCCATGGATGTCCACTTTATATCCATGGATATCCACTTTATATCCAAGGATATCCAGCTTTATATCCATGGATATCCACGCATATCCACGGAGCAGCTCTGTGCTGGCTCAGAGGCCAATGACTTTGTCCCCGTTGGGGACACTGAGGTGCCCAAAAACCCCCAAAGCCTAAGGGGACAAATGGCCATTCCTGCTGAGCATCGTCCCCCTGGAGTGACCCGGCCAGGAGCTCAGGCAACACAAAAAGGGTGTGGAGAGCTGGCAAAAATGTGGACTTTTCTTCCTGATCCTCAGCAGGAGAACAGGGAAAACACGAGGCTGTGCTGTCCCCTGGGAGCCCAGAGTGACAACCCAGGGGCTTCCAGCCCTGCCACGGGGCTGTTTCCTCCCACAGACCCCGTTGTTCCTTTCCCGACTCTTCCCTTCCATCGGGGCTGTTGGTGCACTCGGAAATTGGGGAAGGAAAAGGGTCGTTCTAAGAAATTGGGGAAGGAAAAGAAATTGGAGAAGGAAAAGGGTTGTTCTCAGAAACTGGGGAAGGAAAAGAGGTCGTTAGCGACTCTTTGCCCTACTGAGAACCTGGCAGGCAGAATTCCCCTGCAAACCTCCAAAGCTCCTCCCGAGGCTTTTCCAAGGAAAAGCCAGCCCTGGTTTGTGGGCAGTGCCTTGGGCTGAGGTGGCTCTGAGCCATCCCAAAGCCCCTCTCCTCTTCCCTGGGCACAGCAGCTCTCACTCTGCCCGTTCTCCCCTTGCCCTGTGGATTGGGGTGGTTTTTCACGTGAGGTTTTCTGTATTTTTTAACAGGCGGCTGTTTTTGGAGCCAGTGCTGTCACCTTGACGAGGAGGGATAGCTTGGATCACTTGGATCCAGGCTGGGGAGAGGAAGATGGTTACTACAGGAAAAACGATGGTGTCTATTGCCAGAAGTGCCCTGCAGGTGAGATGGTCTCAGCGCTGATCCCACCTCTGCACTGAGCTCCTCTTCTGTGTCCTCGCTCCTCCTGAGCTCCAGCTCTGCCCTGCTCCACTGTCATGGATCTAAGCACTCATTTTGGGGTATTTTCCCTTTCTTGGCTCATTTGTCTCTGAGCTTCGCTGGTGGTGGAATCAGAGAACCCTTCAGGTTGGAAAAGCCCTGCAAGGCCACCAAATCCCACCTGTGCCCCATCCCCACCTTGTCACTGAGTGCCACTGAGTCCAACCCATCCTTGGATACCTCCAGGATGGGGATCCAACCCTTCCTGGGCAGTTCCAGTTCCTGAGCTCCCTTTCCATGGGGAAATTCCTGCTGGTTCCACCCTGAGCCTGCCCTGGCCCAGCCTGAGGCCGTTCCCTCTCCTCCTGTCCCTGGCAGGAGCTGGGCAGAGCCACAAGGTCCCCCCTGATCCCCCTTTGCTCCAGGCTGAGCCCCTTCCCATCTCCCTCAGGAACTCTCCAGCCCCTTCCCAGCTCCCTCAGGAACTCTCCAGCCCCTTCCCAGCTCCCTCAGGAATTCTCCATTCCCTTCCCAGCTCCCTCAGGAACTCTCCAGCCCCTTCCCAGCTCCTCAGGAACTCTCCAGCC